CCATTAGAGTCAATCCTAACAACTTTCATAAACTAACGCACCATTAGCCGAAATTAATTGAACCTTTTCCTTTCCTTGACAGACCTCTACCTTATCCCTATTTCCATGCATACTCTCAGGAACAAGGGACCCGAATCGAAGGGACGATGGTTTACTCGTTTATAACCAGCGTCCCACGATTCGCGGACACCTCGACCTCCGAAACTGACCCCCCGAGTCAACCCCCATAAAAAGATTAGAATTTCCCAAACCTAAAAACAAATTAACAATTTGTTTAAACTTCCACTTCCACCTACCAGTTCCGAACCTCATGCACATCCCTTCCACGAACACGCCGCCAATAGGAGAAAAAACACACCCACCACTTAGACATCTCGACAGCCAATGACAGCAACAGACGAACATATAAAAATACACGACACCAAGAAGACGGACAGTACAAACATCAAAACGACACAACCGACACCACGATAGAACGCATATCGCTAATACGTCTTGGAATTTCTTGTAAATATCTTGTAATTAAATTATATTTCAAACCTCAAAAAATAGTTTACGTTCTTGAAACGACGTAAACCTTCGCCTGAATTCTTCCTACAATCGACAAGAAGATTCGGACGAAGCAGATATCGAGATCGCGGGAACAAGTATCCGTCACACGGCAGAGGCATCCTTGGTCCTCGAGTACGAGCTCGCATCCAGCGACATCGTGGATAAATCCAAAATCAATTTCTCCGTGAATCGAGACCGAGGTTGGCTCGTCGCGTTGCTGGCCGGCGACTCGCAACGATTTTTCATCTCCCATCGTCAGCCAGGACGCCCCGTCACCGGGCGGCAGAGCGGAAACAGCTGACAGCCGATGCGTGAGGGACGGTGGATAGGGTAGAACGGTAAGAGGAAGCGCGCCATAAGAGAGAAACAGAGAAAGAGAGAGCAGAGTGTCACAAGCTGGCACGAGGATTCAATTCCGCTAAGTCTCTCGCGTCGAAATTTCATATCGATATCTCTAATTGCTCCCGGGTTAAACGACCCACGCTTCGCTCGCGAGCAAACGCTTCTACGACACACCGCGACATACCCGTGCAAATCGGCGAAACCGCGCGGCGACCGTGCAAAGCCGACTTATTCTCGCGACAGTCTGCTCGCGACTGTCTCCGAACGGTTTTCCCGATTTCGAACAACGTCCGACCGCACTCGCGACGTAATCCTATTGCAGGGAATATACGTTCGGTGTAACGACGTTACAAAGAATCGTTATTATCGGCTAGGGTCGGTGCACAGGGCCGGATGCCGCGGCAGCCCTTATCCAGTCCCGGCGGCCGCTTATTTCATCCTGGATTCTATCCATTCTCCTATAGGTAAGCTCATCCAATTACCGAAAATGTAGCGGTGTACGCCAGTTCGTTGCGGATATCGCCTTTCCGAGTCACGCGACGCGTCGTGCATGTTCTCCTGCTAAGCTTCTTTCACCCTCTTCTCGTGGCTCCAGGGACTCTACGTTTCCACGCAACGACGTTTGCGACTCGTCAATGTCCACCGATCGATGAACTCCCTCATCTGCTGGCATTAATCCGGCATCGATCTGGCGGGATATCGACAGCAGCCAGCAGCTTCGTTCTTCGCGAAAGACACCTCTGTGGAGTCTTCCATCGCCAAGTCCCCGACGCGTTATTTCATGTTGTACCTGGTCCAGTCGGAGGATGCGTCCGAGTCGCCGAATCCCGGCGGAAGTAGAGGTCTCTGCGTGGCTGGCACGTCGTATTTCCCGAGGGCCATGTCGATGAGGGAGAAACTGCATCCGGCGAACATCGTGGCACAGTCTTGGCCCTGCTGGCCCGCTTTGTGGGCCCTGCTGTACGCGTGATGCTCCTCCGGCTCGTGGCCGAACAGCCGTTTCAAAGGGAAGCTGCAACAGACACAGGATGGGAATGAAAAATCACCGAGAAGCCTTGCAGTTGGAAGTGACTACGGATCAGAGGTGGATCGAAGCCGGGGATCGATGGGATCTGGCCGATTATCGTGGTTCGCGGGGTAGAAATTGGATGGCGAGCGAAATTTGTAGAAAGTGGAGTTTGGAGGAGATCTACGAACTCGGCGGAAAAAAGGGGGACGGGGAGGCGAGGGAAGGGTAGTGGAAATAACTCGAGGGTATTTGCCACTCTGTCAGAAATTTGAAATTTTCCTGGGTACCTCATTGGTATATGAGATCGCAGGGATTAATTTCTTGGGAGTTTTAACGCGTTGACTGATGCTTGCGAGTTTGCTTTGTAATTGACACGATTGTCAGGAGCGTAGTTGTTCAGCGCGATTAAACTAAGGGATCTGTGTTATTATAAAAGATAATAATTCGAGTAACATGGTTAACCGGAGAATATTACTTGTATATGGTTCACACAGCTCTGCTTCCTGCCAAGTGGATATGCTACAATTATGACAATGTTACAATTATCATTAACGTATGACAATACTGCAAATTAATATATTAAATTAATATGTGACAATATTATAACAATTATTATAAACTGCTACGATTATGACAATATTCGGAACTTGCTTTGTGTTGTGCACTTTGTAGCAATAAAGAATGTTATTTGGATAAAAACAGATAGTTGTTATTATTATAAAATAAAGATTGGCACTGTACCGAAACGAAAATTCTGCCATGATTTCCTACGAGCGTCATTTAAAATTCGCGTGACAGCCAACGCGCGAGGCATGGTAGTCGGGTTGTTTCGAAAACGAAGGTTCAAGGAATGTGTCAGTGGGACGTCGGCGTCGATATCGAGCTCTGGGTAATTTCTCGCAGGAACAACGAGACAGATCCGAAGAAATGGCGCGGCTTAGAGTATATCGGGGGTGAAACGCGTGAAATATCCGCGGAGGGTACCCTTTTAACCTTATTTGCTTAATAAAATTCGTCTCAGAGGCTGCCCGGCCTCGCCTCTTTCCACGGCGAAACGAGATTATTCCGAAATCCCATCGATCCCTTACTAAAACCCACTCCCTCGAATCCCAGTAGAGAGAAAGAAAGGAGTCGCGATGGGGTAGCGGCGAACCCTTCGAATCCGTGCCTCTGAAACCCCGTTCCTTTTTCCTTTTTCCTTTCCCATTCTTTCTCTCCCTTTCTCTCTCTCTTTCACCTTGCCCTCTGTGAACCTTACGAGAAAGATATCCTCATCATCTCCTCGATGAGAGTGTTTCCTTTAGGCATCAGCCGCTGGGAGGCCTCGCAGAGAGCTCGGAGCACGCACGTCCTCCCGTCGAAGTTCATCCTGAAAGAACCGAGAGATTAGGACGGTGAAATAAATCGGAGGACGAGAGGATAACCCGTGATACGAGGGATGAATTATTTCGCTGTTTAAGACGACGGAGGATTGTAAAGAACGGGGTCGAATTTCGTTCCATTCTGTCGGCCGCCGGTTGAAAGGCGACGGAGAAATATCGCGAGAATCGGAGGCTCGATGGCGAGGTAACGCGTTCCGAAAAAGGAAATTTCCGATAGGCAGGAGAGAAAGAGGCGAAGAACGCGTATTAATGTATCCTTTCGGCGAGGAACAAGCGTCTGGTTGCGCGCCGAGGCGGCTGAAAGGGGCGGCGCGCTGTTTTCTCATCTGACCGACCCTCCTTCCAGGAAGATTAAAGTCTCCTTTGAAGCGGCGTTTCAAAAATTCGTTCCGTTCCCCAATAATTTCACCCTTGATTTGAGTGGCCTCGCGGTGGAGCCGGCTACGATCGATCTTGGAAAGTTATCGTGCACGGTGAAGTATGAACACCCTTGCAACCTATGGTCCGCGTCGATATATATCAAAAAATGACGGAATTAAATTTCCGAGTGCAGCCAGTGCGTCGTGGCTGTGGAACAGAGGAAACCAGGAAGAGCAAAGAAAGGAAACCTAAAAGAGGAACGATCGATGACAATGAGAATCGCGTAAACGCGGGAGGAAAAAATTTCGTTACAAGAAGACGAACAGGGGGACTTGGATCCACCCTCTTGGTGAAATATTCGCGGACGTTAGCGGGGACTTTTATTGAAATACGTAATATTTGCTTGACAGCGTTAAAGTCGGGGAGGATGTCGCGGAGGGAACGCACGGCCCCATGAAATAAGATCGCATCCGGTGATCACCAATTCGGGTAAATGCCTGCCATTAATTCCGAGAGATTCTTCGCTAGGGAGAACACGGTCTCGCAGTGGATCGGAAGGAACTGGATGGAATTACCGCTAGGAAGCTTGCTAAGCTCGCTCGGACTATCTCCCTCCGTGTCGTCCTTCTCCCCGGAATTGTTTTATCCGTTATGGCTTTGCTTTGGCTCTTCGCGTTTCGCCGATTTCGTTTGCCCGTCGAACGCGTTCCGAAACGCACGGCCATTTGATCATCGATCAAACCGCGATTAGCCATACGCGCAAACGATCCATCGATCCAGTGGATACGATTATCGTTGCGATTCGGATACATCAACGGTGACTCAGCGGACCGTTCCAGCGGTTACTCACGATATCTGATTATCCCCGGAACGCGATCGCAGCCTCATTTCCATGATTTCTACCCGAGCATTGGGCGCTTTAAAATCTTCGATTCGCAACCCCCGTGATTTCATTCCGCGATTACGCGGTGGAAGTTAGAGCTTCCCTTCCAATTTTCTCGCTCGTATAAATGCTCTTCCGTGGAGCGAAAGCGTGGAGCAGGCGGACAAATAGGAAGCCATCCCCCGGCGCCCAAAAATTGATTCTACCCGCCGGTAGCTGAAGAGAAGGCAGCTTGCGCAACGTAACGCAACGGCGGTTTTCAAGGAGACGGTTCACGGTGGTGTTGGAGCTGCTTAAGGGTGGTATGAATCAGAGGAAGGCTGCTCATCCTGTCTGGAACCATCCTCGGGATAGTAGTCGGGGTTGTTTCTGAACCACCCCGCTGAATCATTTCTTCCTTCCCAGGAAATAGTTTCTCCCTAGTAACTAGATTTATATCCGCCAACCTGTTTCGTCCATCGATTGTAAAAGTAAAGTCGAACGCTTTTAAAAATAGAGCAAAATAATGCAATCGCGTGCGATTCTTCCATTTTCTTCTTCGCAATTCTCGCGATCTTCAGTTTCACAGCTGGTCAAGTTCGCCCCGCTTAGCAGGATTCGCGAAAGGGCGCGAAGGTTGGGAAAGAAGATCGATATTTTCCTCGGTCTTTGCCTGGATCTCGTGCTTAGTCGACCTCGTCTGCCGAATACTGTGCCCGTCGATGCCATCGTCGCGATACGTCGCCGTTTTAGACTAACGCGACCGAAATACATCACCGCGGATGACGCGGAAAAAACTGAGACGACTAGACGGCTCTCCATAAAGGCGCACGACGATCGTTCGATCACGTCCAGACTACTAAAGCCGCTGTTATATTTTATTATCGAGCCTGCCACTCGGCCTGCCGCACTTTGCGAAAAATTTATTCGTCCCTATGATTTTCGAATGGGACGCGAGACCGACGCTATTACGCCGCCAAAGTGGATACATCCTCCGGAGGATACTTTATAGAAGACAGCAGGAAGCTCTCTAATTTTTTATTCCGCGTGTTATTATTCTCCGACTGACACCAGTCGCCGAGCTCTCAATTCTACGCGCTTTCCCTCTTCATTGACGACTGCCCGAGGTAACGAAAGAGCGTCGTTACGCGGTGCTTGTCCTACGACTAGGCAGACGATTTTCCGTAGAAAACCGTGGAAACTCGTTGTACGCGACGAATCGTACGCCCTTCTTTCTTCTGCTATCGTTAGATTGCGTTTTAAGTTGTATCGTAAACCGGCAAAATCGTCGATGTCTGTAGGTCGAACTAATAATTATCGACCCGCCATTTTCTATAGACACCGTGACACGCGGCGGACAGCAAATCGACTTTAGCATCGAGCAATGTAAATAAAGATGTCAATTGCGTTAATGGATTTAAATATGACTCCAATTCTACTCTATTCCAATTGTCTGATCAGCGAGCGGAATATTCTACTTGCGCCGTCCGACTAAACGCAGAGCACAACCACTTTGCACGCAGTTTTCCCACCCCTGGTTCGCTCAATCCCGAAGCTACTAACTCCTCCGATGCTAACGTTAATCGCAGCGAAGCAACGTCGCGTTTAAGCGCATTTGGGACTAAGAAAATTTCCATTTAACGAACTTACGCGTTCATGATGGTCTCGAGTTTACTGTAAAGCTCCCTGCGATGTCTGCGTTGCAAGTAGTAGTAATCCGGCTTGCGATACTTCATCTTGCCAGGTTTCACGTAATACTTCTCATTCCCGCCCCATCCAGTGTACTTGACGACGTTCTTGTTGATCGGGCTGGCAGGCTGGTAGCCGTGCTTCTTCATCGGTTTGACTTGGTCGTGTCTGAGCTGCAGGAGAGGCTCGAGAGCCGGCTTGCTTTCGTTAGGCAAGTCGTACGAGATACCCCAGTTCACCCCCTCCGTGAAAATGTTGTCGTCCGGCGTCAGCGTGTGCACCGTGAGGCAAAGCGCGATCTGTAAATAACGGCCAACACGGATCGGGGGATATTCCGATTCGTCGGTAGATGGAAATAATTCACGCGGTGAATAGGACGCCGGGTGTAGTTATTTATGACGCGTGTAATGAATCGGCGATGGGCAGCACTGTAAATTTTAACATACAATTTGTATAAGCATCCTGCGGCGCAGGAACCGCGGATGTCGCAGACAGAGATAACTCATGTTCGATTCGGCCTTTTCTATCGAATCGCGTGTCTACGTGTGCAGCGTCCGAGATATATCGGACACGCGACAGATGCGTCGCGATGGATATCGACACCGGCGTCGCAGCCGCCATGTTAACGAGGGAAATTGCGAAATTGCGACGGGACGGGTTAAAGAAGAATTCGACTTACGGAGAACGTTGATCCTTCCGGGAAAACGACGTATCGCTTTTTCCTGGACAAACGAGCGTCTCGGTCTGAGCCCGCACGATGATCGGTTAGGAGAACGGCGCAGAGCATCAACAGCGCGAAGCAGCGCTCGTTCCGATTCATGTCGCGATCCTGAAAGAAAGAAATAAAGGGAAAAAGTTATGAAACGTCATGTAGGATATTTTTAGAGTTTATCGGGATGCGATAGTCGAAGTGTTCCTGTACGAAACACTTCGCTAGGTCTAAGGGACACGTTAGAATCTGGCTGCCAGATGGGCCGTAGGTGGTCGGGGCCAGGCCACGCGAGGCCCCGCGCAACCCCGGCTTTCCCTGACATAAGCAAAGGGTAACCCTTTGAAGAGGTTAACTCGGAGGGAAGAGTCTCCTCCACCCTTGACCTCGACGTGGAGGGAGTTTCTCCTCCATCGGGGAGACGCTTGTCCCCTTGACGGGCTTTAAAAGGGCCCGTTCTGGAAGACAGAGTTAAGAGTCTTTGGTAGTCGCCAGAGTTAAGAGTCAGCATCAGTCGGAGAGAACATTCCTAGAATTATACATATTTCCGTCTCGTGGTCGGGAAATCCGAAAGACTCCTCGGAACGACTGACCTACATACATCGCGCCACCCTACACGCGCCCATCCTCCGATGGAACTTTATTAACATTCGAAACTCGTGGAAAGAAGTCGCCCACGCGATCGAGCCACGAGGCCAGGGGTGTATCATGTTGGTCGAGTCAAACTACCGGGCTCCCTTTGCCTCTGCTGAGACCCCGCCCTTCTCGTAATCCGACCCATCCGTCTGCTTTATTGTTTCCCAGTGACCACGCAGACCACGGAGGCACGCGACGGTTCGACTCCATTTGTCTGGCTCGTACCTCGTTCTAATTACTCCGAGACGGGCAATGGAAGCGCAATAAAGGCAACCTCCGTCCGTTTGCGCGTGAATCGTTCGCGAAGAACGAAATAAACGGAGAGCGACGTAGCGGGGTTGGGCTCTCGCGAAGTCACGGTGACCAGCAAAGGGAAGCTTACCCCCTTTCGTCGAAGGACATCTCATTAACCCGAGCTTCGAGTGCCGGTAGAACGAGCAATTTTCTCGGCAGTCAGCGAAACGTTTACGAGTCACGACGAATTATTTTATTTGTCCCGCCCGAGGACTACCTGGCAGGGGAAAAGTTGCTCAGCGACGAGCGGCGAGTTGTAAAGGAATTACCTAACTTTCCGCGAGCAAATCTCGCTATAATCCGTTGAGAAATTGTCCAACGACTCCGTCGGAAATAAAAGACGCGTGGAAGACGTTGATAATACCGGCCTCGGCCCTGGCCATCCGGGTATCGTAAGCTCTCACCGTCCAGCGCGATCCGCGATGGCCGACGAACCGATGGAATCACGCGAGTCGAAGATCGCTCGTGGATCGAGTCTCGAAACAATCTTGGAGAATCCGTCCTCCAATCGAACGTCGGAACTCGATTAACTCCGATGCGAGAACGCTCTGAGAGACGGTCTTGTTCCTCTCTGGGATTTCTAAGTTGACTGATCGCCGGGCTGTTTTAGCTCGAACCTGGATATCTAGTCTGCGTCCGAGTCGTTACCCGATTTCAGCGTTTCTTTCACCGTGTTTCATTTCGCAGGCTCCTCTCTAGTCTCTCGCGTCACTGATTTGGCTGCTTTTTGTAACCCATCTATCTCCTTTATCGCGTCGCTGGTAGTCAAGCATCGGTGATCGTTCCCCGAATGAATTTCGGTTCGAATCAATTCGACGTTTCTTAGATAACCCGTTGCTCCTTTCTTCCCAGTCTTCTTCCTTTATCGTCATCGATCTTCCGCTTGTTTAACGTCGGCAGAGATAGTTAATTAAGTTCGCTTATCGCGATTCGCAATTATTCAGGAATCCCTTTTATTCCAGTTATTTTTATTCTTTTTATTCCCTTTCTGAAAAAAATTTTTATTCCGGCTCGATGAAAGAGCCATCTCGTTCCGGGTGATTTATGATTCGTTAACGGGAAGATCAATCGAAACTTCTGCCGGAAGATCACTCATTCGAGATGAACTCGTGTCGTGGAACTCGATGCATGCGCTAATTACACCGTTTGCACTGGCGTATCCATCTTCTTTCGTCATCCGAGTCATCGATTTATCCCGTCTCCTGATTTCTGGCGTATTATAATCCCGTTTGGAACATTCTATCTACTTCCGCTTATGTTCTACGCGACCCACGTGCAAGGGTCTACGTAGAACTCGTCAAGTGCCTCGAGAGACCGGACAATTTAACAGCAGACGTTAGATAATAATTCACGTTTGACCCGGCAGTGGCTCAGATACGGGGACATTCATTGTCGACCTAGTGGAAAAGATCGATAGTTAGGTCCGATACATCGTGGAAGCGGCGGTTGCATGACGATGATGGAAACCCCAGGCGAGATTTCGCGTTCGCTCCTCTCCGTCGCCGGTTCCGCTGTTCTCGGCCCAATAATTTGTCACACTTCACCGGCACTGCTCGATAAGTGGTCCCGTTAATATTGTAAAGAGCGAGTCACAATGGCGGAAGATCGAAAGGGGGCCTGGAATTCGAGGTAGGCGGATATATCGCGAGGGAACTCTCGAGCGGCGGCCTGGCCCGGTTGCATATTTCAGGCGCGAACCGCGATTTCTCAGCCCGACGTCGATGAACTGGCGAGGAGTCGACGTTGATTCGCGATCGAGGTGCAAGGCGACAGGAAGACGAGAGGGCAACGCGTGTCTTCCGGATTGGCGCGTTCCAGCGCGATTACGCGTCCATCCATCGTCCTAATGGCCCGTAGGATGCAGCTGCAGCCATGGTTCGATCGGTTTCTTCGTCTTCCTTGCTCCTCATTTATCGTTCTCTCTTTCTTTGGTACCCTCGCGCTCTCATCCACGCTTTTTTAATCCCTTGAGCGTGAATTTTTACGAGGAACCGCCTCTTCCGCGTGACAGGGAGCTCCATTTCCATTACACTGGCTGATTGCGAACGATGACATGGGATCCAAAGATTTACGCTCGGAACGAGAGCTACTGGAGACTTCCTGGATCTTGTTTTAACGTTTGACGTATCGAACTTTGCGGACACTTTCGAGATTTCTCCAAAAATCTCGATGGAATAGCTATTCGTTCTGTCCGATTAATTCTTCGTTTCTTTGCAAAGAAACTCGACAACCTTCAACTAGAAAACGATGTTCCAGCAGTTACAGAAGTGTCAAAGCAAGCTGTTATCGCAAAAATATCATGGGATACCTTCGAGAAAGCGGTGGTCCACGGTTTCGCCCAACGAACGCGAATTTTCCGCCGCAGCAGCGGCTCGTTCTCGCGATTATTCCACGCGAAAGGATAGTGTGCACGCGTGGAAGCTCTTGCACAGGGGCGACAGTGCACGGCGAAGATGCGTGGACGGAATCGTCCTGCGTTTCCTTTTTCTCCGCCCACCTCTCATTCTTCTCTCTCTCTCTCTCTTTTTCTATCTCTCGTCTCTTCCCCGAGCTGACCCGTTACTGGAGCGTGCGTAATTCCCGCGTATCGATTGACTTTTAACAACTCTCGCGGTTCGAACGCGAGGAAGCTAAACGCGGATTGATCCGCAGGAAGAATCGAAAATAAACTCGAGGATTCTCACTTCTACATATAGTCTGATCGAGATTCGTTAAGACCGACGGACCATCGGATTTGATTACTCCTGTGAGAGAAAAAAATGTTGCGCGAGCCACCGGAAGTCGGCTTTTCCCCATCCTTCCTCTCGATGAAAATGGTTTCGCGACCGCAGCGGAAGAGTTGTCCGGAATATTGCATACGGAGAAATGTTGTATTTTCCATCGAGTTTTATACGCTCTCTGTTCCAAATCGAACAAGTGAAAATTGCCACGTCGCTTCTGAAGGTCGGAAGCGCTTGGATACTCGTTTATTC